CCACATCTTCATCAGCGCCATCAGCATATACAGCACCACCAGCAGCAGTGGATACAGCCGCAGCAGTGGCTGCTCCATCATCTTCAGCAGCAGCAGTGGCTGCTCCATCATCTTCAGCAGCAGCAGTGGATACAGCAGCAGCAGTGGCTGCTCCATCATCTTCAGCAGCAGCAGTGGATACAGCAGCAGCAGTGGCTGCTCCATCATCTTCAGCAGCACCTTCCCCACCTACAGCTCCCGTGAAGCTTCCCCCATTGCTCCAGGCTACAGTCAGGCCTGTTCTGGGGGTTCCTCAACCACCTCTGTCTCCACCAAAGACTCCCTCATCACCTTCCATGGACCCGGCTTGGGTCCCCCCCGCTACATCCACTCCATCTAGGGAAAATGAGGACGACCTTTCCCTTTGTTTTCTATCCCCGCCTTCACTACTGGAATTACCGGAACACTCGGCAGGCATGATAAGATCGGCGATGAAGACTATTCCTCTCACACCCACTGTAGCCAGATCAAGAGTCCTATCTAACATTCAAAACTACTCCCCATACGTACCTCCAAAGCCACCTAGGGCGTCCAACTCAAATTCTCCCACAAAATCCACCTGTCCCTCCTCTAACCCCATAAGTATTCCACCCCCCCCTCCTGCTCATTTAGCCCACCTCCCCCCTAACCCAGCACCAAGAAACCCTCCACCTCCACTCCCCCCTCGTCCACCACCCAACTCAGCCTGCCCCTCCCCTAACCCATCACCAAAAACCCTTCCACCTTCAACCCCCCCCCGTCCAACTCCCAAGAACCACCTGCCTCCCCATCCTCTTCCCCCACCTTCCCCTACCCCTCTTTTCTCTAAACACTAGGATGCACAGGGTCTCTGCTTCGCAGCCACTGGCAGTCTAGTTAGAGGAGAGACCCGGCTGGGGCCCTGTCATGAAGCCACCTGTGCCATTCCTTTAGTGATAACACAAAGAATACATTACAGAAAAACATCTGAAGTTAATCAGTCTAATCAGGAAAATCTAATTCTTGTTCCGTGTAAGAATCAGCCGACCACAACCGCTGATACTGAAACATTGAAACTTGCTATGCTAAATGTCAGATCTCTTTGTAACAAGTCTTTTTTAATCAATAATTTTATTTGTTCTTATAATCTAGATCTTATGTTCATGGCTGAAACATGGCTTGACCAAAATACAGAAAATGCAGTTTTAATAGAAGCATCACCACCAAATTTCAAATTTGAATCTGAAATACGGGGAAACAAAAAAGGAGGAGGCTTAGCTGCCATTTTCAGAGACCACTTTGTCTCCCATAGAATGTCTCTTGGGAAGTTTCCGTCTTTTGAATATGTGTCTTTTAAAATACAACAAAAACAATCTAGTCCAATACTCTTCATTGTCCTATACAAGCCACCGCAGTCATGTCACAGTTTTATTGATCATTTTACAGAGTTGCTTTCAGTTTTATGCACAGATTTTGATAGCTTAATTATTACAGGTGATTTTAATATTCATGTGGATAATGTTATTGACAGAAAGGCAAAAGAGCTGAGTTCTGTTCTTGAATCTTTTGGTCTCACTCAGCATGTGAGTGGCCCCACCCACAGCAGAGGGCACACTCTAGACCTGTTAGTTACTAAGGGGGTGAATATTTCAAATGTAAACGTGGTCGATGTTGCGCTTTCGGATCATTTTTGTGTATTTTTTGACATGTGTTTCACTAACAAACCACCAGTGGACTCTGCAACTGTACAAAGAAGACACATAAATGAAAATACGGGTGAACTATTTATGGGAATGATAAACTTTGAGAATGCATCGTATTCTACTGTAGATGAACTGTTTAACTCTGTCACCTCTAGTGTTTTGAATGTTCTGGACACCATCGCTCCTGTGAAGGTTAAAATAGTGAAAAATAAGCAGAAGGCGCCGTGGGCTAAATCAGACTCGGTCAGAGCACAAAAGAGAGAGTGCCGGAGGGCCGAGCGGAAGTGGCGCAAGTCCAACCTCCAGGTTGATTACGAGATCTTCAAAGATAAGTTGTGCGAGTTTAACCAGGTGCTACGTAGTACGAGAGAAAGGTATTTTTCTGAAATGATTGAAGGCTGCAGCAACAATCTGCGTGTTCTGTTTTCAACAGTTAATAGATTAACAAACCCCCCTGTTCAAATGCCATTAGAGCTAACTTCCAAACGTAAATGTAATGAGTTTGCACATTTTTTCAATGACAAGGTTCAAGGCATCAAAAACGCCATTGTCTCCAATCCACAGATAACAATCCAACAGCCAGAAAGGCTCTTTGAGCTAACTTACTTTGCACCTGTAAATGATAAAACTGTCCAAGAGATAATCTCCAGTCTGAGCGCCTCCACATGCAGCCTGGATGTACTACCCACTAGATTTCTAAAGTCTGTTCTGAGCAGTCTGTTACCTTCACTCACACAGATAGTAAACATGTCCCTTCATTCTGGAATATTCCCAAAGGCCCTGAAAACTGCAGTCATCAGGCCCCTGCTAAAAAAGAGCAGTCTCGATGCTACGGTACTTAACAACTATCGTCCCATCTCAAATCTGCCATTTATGGGGAAAGTCCTTGAAAAAGTTGTCTACCAACAGCTAAATAGATTTCTTATAATCAACAACTCATTTGATATGTTTCAGTCCGGCTTTAGACCCCACCACAGCACTGAGACTGCTCTCGTCAAGGTTACAAACGATATCCGGCTGAACACTGACGCAGTCTCAATCCTAATCCTGTTAGATCTGAGTGCTGCCTTTGACACTGTCGACCATGAGATCCTCTTACAGAGATTAGAGGACTGGGTTGGAGTCGCTGGCACCGCCCTAAGTTGGTTTAGGTCTTACCTTGAAGACAGGAAGTACTTTGTGGAGATTGGAAACTGTGTCTCAGATCATATGGCCCTGACCTGTGGAGTCCCACAGGGGTCGATCCTGGGACCTCTTCTGTTCAATCTCTACATGCTGCCGTTAGGTCAGTTAATACGCAGAAACAAAGTATCCTATCACAACTATGCAGACGACACTCAGATCTATGTCTCACTGACTGCAGGAGAACATGGACCAGTGGACTCACTCCTTCACTGTATCCAACAGATCAGTGAGTGGATGCAAAACAACTTCCTTCAGCTAAACGCAGACAAAACTGAAATGATTGTCTTTGGTCCCCAGAAACAAAGAGAGAGCGTCATCTGTCATCTACAGTCTCTCTCCCTAAAACCTTCAAACAAGGTCAGAAATCTAGGGGTAATACTGGACTCAGACTTAAATTTTAATAGCCACATCAAATCAGTAACATCAGCAGCTTTTTACCATCTAAAAAACATTGCCAGGATCAAAAACATAGTGTCTAAAGCAGACCTGGAGATTCTTATCCATGCATTTGTCTCCAGTAGGTTAGACTACTGCAATGGCCTGCTCACAGGTCTGTCCAAACAGGCTGTAAAACAGCTGCAGTACATTCAAAATGCAGCAGCTCGAGTCCTGACTAGAACCAGGAAGTACGACCACATTAGTCCTGACTAGAACCAGGAAGTACGACCACATTAGTCCTGACTAGAACCACGAAGTACGACCACATTAGTCCTGACTAGAACCAGGAAGTACGACCATATTAGTCCGGTCCTCAGGTCTCTGCACTGGCTTCCTGTGGCTCAGAGAATAGACTTTAAAACAGCTTTGCTTGTGTACAAATCTCTCCATGGCCTCGCACCAAAATATATTAGTGACATGTTAGTACCATATGAACCAGCCCGGACTCTGAGGAGCACAGGGACTGGACTCCTGCTGGGACTCTGAGGAGCACAGGGACTGGACTCCTGCTGGGACTCTGAGGAGCACAGGGACTGGACTCCTGCTGGGACTCTGAGGAGCACAGGGAATGGACTCCTGTTAGTGCCCAGAGTCAGAACTAAACATGGGGAGGCTGCTTTTCAGATTCATGCTGCTAAGATCTGGAACAGTCTTCCTGAAGATGTGAGACAGGCCTCCTCTCTGACAATGTTTAAAACCAGGTTAAAAACGGTGCTGTTTAGCTGTGCATACAACTGAGGGATTTTATATTTTTATCTTTCTTTCTAATGTTCTGTGATTATTTATGATTTTAATGCTATCTTGTTCAGCACTTTGAGTTGCCTTGTGTATGAATTGTGCTATACAAATAAACTTGCCTTGCCTTGCCTTGCCTTGCCTGTGATGGGAGACCTCTGGGAACAGCAGGTGCCACAGTGGGGCGGCTGAGGCTGTAAAGTGTGGCTGTGTCCTTAGGCAAGACACTTCCCCCACATTAGAATGAGTCTGGTGTGTGTGTGAATGGTTGGTGGTGGTGGGAGGGGCTGATGGCACAGACTGGTTGCCTCACTCCTGTCAGTGTGCCCCAGGGCAGCTGTGGCTACAGTAGTTTATCACCACCGTGTAGAGAGTGAAAGATGTGAAAAAAAAAAGCTGTACAAAACATTCATTATTATTATCCGGACATTTCAATCTGGAGACATCCCTGGTACGAGTAAAAACACATGTTTGAACTTTTTTGACTCTGTAATTATTCTGTAGCACTTAAAAAAAGTAAATTACACTATAAATTTGTTTTATTATCATTACAAATAAAAATTTAAATGTAACTTTTATGAACAAAAATGCGTAGCAAATGGTTATACACACACTCTAAGAAACGATTCAGGTGGTTAGTATTTTGAACTCTAAATACTTACTAAACTAAACTCAATCGATTTTTGCCAGTTTTTGGTTGCAACTCATTTTAAACATGCCCGTCTCAATTAAAAGTTAATACAAGAATCTGAACTCATTTTTTTAACAAATTTTAATTTGATATTCTGTCATTTCAATCTGAAGAGACCAAAGACACAATTAATACAATAAAATGATTTATTTGTTTGGCGCATTGACACTTGATCTCAGATCCTGTGTGTGCCGGGAATGCACAGGCCTCCCTTTCTTTTCACTTCTTTTAGTTTTGTTGTTGTTTTGTTTTCACGTGTGTGCATCTTTTTGTCTCCATGAATCTATTTTGTTAAAAAAACACATTCAGATAACTGTTTTCAAATGATCAAAGAAATAAATCCAATCATAAACCAAAGGGATTCTGGGAGTTTATGAGGTGAAAAATGCACCAATCAATCATTAACCAAGAAACAGATCTTTCATTTTCTCCATGAGGCTGCGGCCGTTGCAAAGGTCGGACTGACAACACGAGAAGTCGAACTGAGGCAGAGGGTAGTTCACCGAGAGGGCGTCAAAGTTACACAGAGCGTAGTTCACACAAGACGAGAAGGTTTGATCTGAAAGCACAAGAAAACACATCCTTAAATCTGCTACCACTCCCAGACCCGTCATTTTGACTGCTCCCATTCAAATGGAATCGAATACTGAAAGGTTTGGAAGAGTTTTCCACCAGTTTTATTTAAATTAACCTTTACTTAAGTTTTATATGCGCAAAAAAACTGGTGAAAAAAACTTGAAAAACAGTATGTTAAAAGGCTAATGCTAATGCTAACCAGTAGCAACTAGCAACTTAACAGTATGTTGCTATGGTTACCGGCATTTTTTTTTCTTTAATTTTCTGCTAAAGATAATATTGTGAAAATACTGACATAGAAATAAACTACATAAAGAAACAGAAAAGTTTGGGGGATCAGAAGTTCTTTATAGCCGTCAAATTGACTGCTCTGGGAGTTCTCGCGTTAATCAAGGCAAAGCAAATAAAAACTGGTGAGAATAACTTGAAAAACAGAAAAAAACGGTTTGTTGAAACACTAATGCTAATGCTAACTGGTGGCAACTTAACAGTCTGTTGCTATGGTTACCAGCACTTTTTCTTCTTTACTGTTCTGCTAAAGATAATATTGTGAAAATACTGACATAGAAATAAAGAAACAGAAAAGTTTGGGAGATCAGAAATTCTTTGTAGCCGTCAAATTGACTGCTCTGGGAGTTCTCGCGTTAATCAAGGCAAAGCAAATAAAAACTGCTGAAAATTGTTTGAAATTTGTTGAAAGGTTAACGCTAATGCTAACTGGTAGCAAGGTAACAGTCTGTTGCTATGGGTACCAGCACTTTTTCTTCTTTACTTTTACTGCTAAAGATAATTTTTTGAAAACACTGACATAGAGATAAACTACATACAGAAACAGAAAAAGTGTCACAAAGTTATGGAGAGTAAAAATATATAAAAGCCGTCAAATTGACCGCTCTGGGAGTTCCCGTGTTAATCGAGGGATTATTACCGATCCATATCCACTCGAATGATTGACTGGTTCCTGACGTTTACCTCTGTGTTTGAGTTTGAGGCAGCTGTCCAGGCCGTCGGAGCATTCTTCTTTCACTTCACACTTTTGAGACGAACCAGTCGGACACGAGTAACACTGCAGAGAGTCGCCTAAAGAATTATATTTAACACACAGATTATTATTGGGCCTAATAATCACTATCAGAACCTACTGCTGTCATAAAGAGGATTTTGTGGCTGTTTTTGTGTCTTTTGTCGTCCTTTTTTTCTTCTTAAATCTTTTTTTGTGTGTGATAATTGTTTGGTTCAAGTTTTCCATTGTATTTATATTTCAGCTCTGGTTGGCATCACACTGTACTTTTTGTTCCCTGTTTGTTCTCCACTTCCCCTTTTCCCTTGTGGGCAGAGAAGCTAAAACATAACATAAGAAAAATAATAATAATAATAATATACGATGGCTGAGTAGATAGCACTCTCGCCTCTCAGCAAGAAGGTCCTGGGTTCAAATCCCGGTTGGACCAGGGCCTTTCTGAGTGGAGTTTGCATGTTCTCCCCGTGTCTGCGTAGGTTTCCTCCGGGTGCTCCGGTTTCCCCTACCACTAAAAATATGTACAATAGGTCTGGCATGTGCCTCCTGTACTGGCCCCACTCCCAAAAATAACAATTGTAAACCGCTTTGAGACTAATGTGCAGTGAAAAGGCGGTATATAAATAAAGATTACTACTACTACTACTACTACATAAAAAAATAATTATAAAAAAAAGTTTCAAGACATCTGAACAGAATGAGAATGAATTGAAAAATAAAATAAAGATAAAATACATTAAATAACAATAATACTTAATGCATCGAACTCATTTGTCAAAAGAACCACAAACAACATGACAGACAATATTCTCTCAAATTGGAGAGAATAAAAAGTGGATGTTTCTTACCGAGTCGAACCAGCGCCAAACTCAGAATGAGCCAAAACACCACCGAGTTTTTCTTTCCCAGCGCACACATTTTCACTAAGAAGACAACAACGGATCAGATTTAACAGTGTTTAGTATAATTAATGTGTATTTTGGTTCCTCTTACCTCCGTTTAGAGTCACAGCGGTTGAATACTTCGTCTGACCGACCGTGCCCGGGTCAGAGTCTATGTTTGTCTGATCCTCACTATTTGCATTTGGAAAGGACGTATTTCTGTCTACACACAGGTTTTACTGTCATGAAAGTTACACAAAATAAATTCAGACTAAATTCCCCGATGAGGTTTCTCCTGTCTGATTATGTAATACTGTTGTTTTTCACTAACAGACAAACCATTTGGACTCGAGTTGAGCTTCTAGGTATAAATCAAAAGTTGGCGGATCAAATGAAAGTGTTTTGAAGCTAAAATTCAGGCTGAAGTATCTGTCAATCACACTCAGCTGCAGCGCCACACTGCCCTCTCCTGGCAGCAAACAGGCACTACACACATCAGCTTCATATCACACAGAAGCTCCATCCCAGCAGCAGCTTCACTCACGCTGCAACCCTCCTCCTCATCTCCGCCTCCTTCTAAGCTCTTTCATACAGTACTCCTAAGCCTCCACCACCAGGGTCTAGGCCCGGGGGGGTTTCATCTCATCATCTCTTCCCCCTTCAGCCTCATCCCGTTGCTCTGAGACCAGGGCAATGGGATCTGAGGCCAAATCCTAACCACATTTCTTTGTATTTTCTGTTGAGTCTCTCCAGATTGAAATGTATTGTCAGTGTTTGGGAGTAAGGGAGATTCAGGGAAATGTATTCAGAAAGCTCTTCAGTCTTTAGAATACAGTTACCTTCTGAAGATCAAGAGAATACACACTTTCTCTTTTCTCGTTTTTTATGGTAAAAACACATTTACAAAATAACTGATATCTGAAGTAAGAATGAAGGGTTTTACTGAAGGATGGTATCATCACTCTCTTTAATGCACTGTGATTATTTATGATTTCAATGCCTTGTAGTGTTTTGAGAGGGGTTGGACGCTCCACTTTTCTGGTGTTTCCCGCGGGGAGAGGCGGCGAGCTGGTGTGGCCATACTCATTGCCCCCCATCTCAGCCGCCACGTGTTGGAGTTCTCCCCGGTGAATGAGAGGGTCGCGTCCCTCCGCCTCCGGGTGGGGGACAAGTCTCTCACTGTTGTGACGGCCTACGGGCCTAACAGCAGTGCAGAGTACCCGGCCTTCTTGGAGTCCTTGGGAGGGCTACTGGACAGTGCACCGCCCGGGGACTCCGTCATTCTCCTGGGGGACTTTAACGCCCATGTAGGAAGCGCCAGTGACACTTGGAGAGGGGTGATCGGGAATAACGGCCCCCCTGATCTGAACCCGAGCGGTGTTCAGTTGTTGGACTTCTGTGCCAGTCACGGTTTGTCCATCACGAACACCATGTTCGAGCACAAGGGTGTCCACCAGTGCACGTGGCACCAGGACACCCTAGGCCGGAGGTCGATGATCGACTTTGTTGTCGTATCATCTGACCTTCGACCGCGTGTCTCGGACACTCGGGTGAAGAGAGGGGCGGAGCTGTCAACCGATCACCACCTGGTCGTGAGTTGGATCCGCTGGCAGGGGAAGAAGCCGGTCAGACCTGGCAGACCCAAGCGTGTAGTGAGGGTCTGCTGGGAACGTCTCGCTGAGACCCCTGTCAGACGGACTTTCAACTCACACCTCCGGGAGAGCTTCTCCCAGGTCCCGGCGGAGGAGGGGCATATTGAGTCTGAGTGGACCATGTTCTCTGCCTCTATCGCCGATGCGGCGGCTCGTAGCTGTGGTCGCAAGGTCTCTGGTGCTGGTCCCGGCGGCAACCCCCGAACCCGGTGGTGGACACCGGCAGTAAGGGATGCCGTCAGGCTGAAGAAGGAGTCCTATCGAGCCATGATGGTTCGGGGGACTCCTGAGGCAGCTGTCCAGTATTGGCAGGCCAAGCGTGCCGCGGCCCGGGCTGTTGCAGAGGAAAAACCCGGGTCTGGGAGGAGTTCGGAGTCCATGGAGCATGACTATCGGTCGGCCTCGAAGAGATTCTGGCCAACTGTCCGGCGCCTCAGGAGGGGGAAGCAGTTCTTTGCCAACACCGTGTACGGTGCGGGGGGTGAGCTGCTGACCTCGACTGGGGATATTGTCGGACGGTGGAAGGAATACTTCGAGGTTCTCCTCAATCCCCCCGTCACGTCCTCCGTTCAGGAGGCAGAGGCTGAGGATGTTGGGGTGGATACTTCCATCCCCCTGGCCGAGGTCACCAAGGTGGTTGGCAGCCTCCATGGTGGCAAGGCGCCGGGAGTGGATGAGATCCGTCCTGACTATCTAAATTCTCTGGATGTTGTAGGACTGTCTTGGCTGACACGTCTCTGCAACATCGCATGGCGATCGGGGGCAGTGCCAATGGAGTGGCAGACCGGGGTGGTCCCTCTCTACAAGAAGGGGGACCGGAGGGTGTGTTCCAATTATCGTGGGATCACACTCCTCAGCCTCCCTGGTAAGGTTTACTCCAAGGTACTGGAGAGGAGGCTACGGCCGATGGTCGAATCTCGGACTCAGGAGGAGCAGTGTGGTTTTCGTCCCGGTCGCGGAACACTGGGCCAGCTCTATACTCTCCATCGGATACTCGAGGGTTCATGGGAGTTTGCCCAACCTGTCCACATGTGCTTTGTGGATTTGGAGAAGGCGTTCGACCGTGTTCCCCGGGGTGTCCTTTGGGGGGTCCTCCGTGAGTACGGGGTCCGGGGTCCTCTGCTGAGGGCCGTCCGGTCCCTGTATAACCGGAGCCAGAGCAGTGTTCGCATTGCCGGCAGTAAGTCAGACCTGTTCCCGGTGCATGTTGGCCTCCGCCAGGGCTGCTCTTTGTCACCGGTTCTGTTCACTGTATTTATGGACAGAATTTCTAGGCGCAGCCAAGGGTCGGAGGGGACCGGTTCGGGGACCACAGGATTTCATCTCTGCTGTTTGCAGACGATGTTGTCCTGTTGGCTCCAACGAACCAGGACCTACAACATGCACTGGAGCGGTTTGCAGCCGAGTGTGAAGCGGCTGGGATGAGAATCAGCACCTCCAAATCTGAGGCCATGGTGCTCGACCGGAAAAAGGTGCCTTGCCCTCTCCAGGTGGGTGGAGAGGCCCTTCCTCAAGTGGAGGAGTTCAAGTATCTCGGGGTCTTGTTCACGAGTGAGGGAAGGATGGAGCGTGAGATTGACACTCCACGTCGAGAGGAACCAGTTGAGGTGGCTCGGGCATCTGTTCCGGATGCCTCTTGGACGCCTCCCTGGGGAGGTGTTCCGGGCACGTCCCACCGGGAGGAGGCCCCGGGGAAGACCTAGGACACGCTGGAGGGACTATGTCTCTCAGCTGGCCTGGGAACGCCTTGGAGTCCCCCCGGACGAGCTGGAGGAGGTGTGTGTGGATAGGGAAGTCTGGGCGTCTCTGCTTAGACTGCTGCCCCCGCGACCCGGCAACGGATGAAGCGGAAGAAAATGGATGGATGGATGGATGTAGTGTTTTATTCAGCACTTTGAGTTCCCTTGTGTATGATCTGTGCTATACAATTAAACTCGCTTTACCTTAAGTCAGCTAAAGTTGGCTGAATGACACATGTTCACCATCTCACCAGCTACAGTAGCACCATTAACAGAAGTGACACCATCAAAAACCACATCAGTACAGTTATGCAAATAAAGTCAACAACGTACTTGGCTTTAGAACAAGGTCTGTCTGGGCTGAGCTGAAGTTGGATGGATGACACAGTGAACTTATGTTTATGATCTCAAAGACTATGGATTAGCGAGGTAGAGGGCCACATAAAAAGACACTGAGGGCCGCAAATGGCACCCAGGCCTGAGTTTGGACATGTCCGCCTTAAGTGATAGCACATGAGTGAAGAACTAAAAACCTTAAATACATGCATTCGTTAGCTTTGCCGGTGTGGAAAGGTGAACCCGAAAGCCCCGGGGTGTCCATGGAAACGACTCTCATGTACAGTCATAAATAAACCCCCCGCTGTATTGACATTTCCCTCTTAGTCCTGCCGCAGCGCCGCACATTAGTCTGAGTGAGAAACGCCATTACTGCAATAACTCCTCCCACTGCGAACCTGCTCCACTGAACATAATGAAAAAGTCCTTCCTCAAATGTCGCGGTCGCCCTCTCCTAATACAGCCTTTTCTAATTACGATTTAATTACACTCTGAGGTCAACAAAGCCCATCTCTTCTCCGTCGGCTCCACACCAACGGCGGAACATAGCGGCTTCATAAAACACACGCAGCACAGAGAACGGCAACGGCTCGGTAACAACTCCTTTCAACGCCGTTCTAAAGTCTTTGCTAATTATCTTTCTCTGATTGGGCTAATGCTCCAGTGGGTTCGTTACTGTGGCCTCGACTCTGTGAGATACGAGCTGAGGAGGGCCCCGGTAAACTTCTACTGAGGGCCATGGTGGATAGGAGTGACAGTAGAGCCTTTGAGCCTGATGGTTGTGGGTTCGAGCCCGCCACAAGACCTTCTCCACCCACTGATGTCAGCTGTGGTTGTGTCCTAGGGCAAGACACTTCCCCCACATTAGAATGAGTCTGGTGTGTGTGTGAATGGTTGGTGGTGGTGGGAGGGGCTGATGGCACAGACTGGTTGCCTCACTCCTGTCAGTGTGCCCCAGGGCAGCTGTGGCTACAGTAGTTTATCACCACCGTGTAGAGAGTGAAAGATGTGAAAAAAAAAAGCTGTACAAAACATTCATTATTATTATTCGGACATTTCAATCTGGAGACATCCCTGGTACGAGTAAAAACACATGTTTGAACAAGTCAAACTTTTATGAACTTTTTTGACTCTGTAATTATTCTGTAGCACTTTAAAAAAAGTAAATTACACTATAATTTTGTTTCATTATCATTACAAATAAAAATTTAAATGTAACTTTTATGAACAAAAATGCGTAGCAAATGTTTATACACACACTCTAAGAAACGATTCAGGTGGTTAGTATTTTGAACTCAAAATACTTACTGAACTAAACTCAATCGATTTTTGCCAGTTTTTGGTTGCAACTCATTTTAAACATGCCCGTCTCAATTAAAAGTTAATACAAGAATCTGAACTCATTTTTGGAACAAATCGTACGTTAGATAGAACGTTCGTACATAGACTGTAAACATGAAAGTACCTCCACTCCGCTCTGTTTGGATATCTGCAGGTTTTCAAATCAATAAACAAATGAATGAATGAACGCTGGACCCTGCTTCATTCCAACATATCCATTCTCTTCTGTCTCAGGATCATTTCAGTTTGGTCTGTCTGGTCAAAACTAAATCTTGCAGCGATTAACCCTTTGATGGTTTCATGGACCATTTGGTGGATCACTTTTTGGGGTCTCTCTCCTTAAAGAAAGCTTGGAACTGAAATCTACCTCATCGTTGCTTTTGGGGCGACAGTGGCTCAGTGTGTAGAGCATTGGCCTTTGAGCCCGAAGGTTGTGGGTTCGAGTCCACCAAGAGACCCTCTCCACCGACTCCCACTGATGTCTGCTGTCGTTGTGTCCTTGGGCAAGACACTTAATCCACTTTTCCTGTAAGGAGCCTGGAAGTGATGTTCGCTGCTTGCCTTGATGTGTGTATGTATGTGTGTGTGTGTACTGTGTATGTGTGTATGTGTGTGTACTGTGTATGTGTGTATGTGTGTGTACTGTGTATGTGTGTATGTGTGTGTACTGTGTATGTGTGTATGTGTGTGTACTGTGTATGTGTGTATATGTGTGTACTGTGTATGTGTGTATGTGTGTGTACTGTGTATGTGTGTATGTGTGTGTACTGTGTATGTGTGTATGTGTGTGTACTGTGTATGTGTGTGTACTGTGTGTGTACTGTGTATGTGTGTATGGGTGTGTACTGTGTATGTGTGTATGTGTGTGTACTGTGTATGTGTGTATGTGTGTGTACTGTGTATGTGTGTATGTGTGTGTACTGTGTATGTGTGTATGTGTGTGTACTGTGTATGTGTGTGTACTGTGTATGTGTTTATGTGTGTGTACTGTGTATGTGTGTATGTGTGTGTACTGTGTATGTGTGTGTACTGTGTATGTGTGTATGGGTGTGTACTGTGTATGTGTGTGTACTGTGTATGTGTGTATGTGTGTGTACTGTGTATGTGTGTATGTGTGTGTACTGTGTATGTATGTATGTGTGTGTACTGTGTATGTGTGTATGTGTGTGTACTGTGTATGTGTGTATGTGTGTGTACTGTGTGTGTGTATGTGTGTGTGTGTATGTGTGTGTACTGTGTGTATGTGTGTGTGTGTACTGTGTATGTGTGTATGTGTGTGTACGTGTGTGTACTGTGTATGTGTGTGTACTGTGTATGTGTGTATGTGTATGTGTGTGTGTGTGTGTACATTGTGGGACAAATAAAGGACCTTCTTCTTCTACTATCACTTGTTTTAGGCACTTTTACCATCAAGCTGCATCTCAAACACATTTGGAAAAGGCCTATAATTAAAAAAAACATATCTTAGAAAATAAGTAAAGCATGACATTGTTTTATTCAGTAAACATTAAAGGGTTAAAGTTGTACAGACCCAAAACATTTGAATCAATTGTTTGAAAAGAGTTGAGTGTGAATCCTCAAGTTCAGCGGTGGAAACAGGTGGCATAGAAAAACACTTAAATGTAATTAAAATCAATCATAAATAACACATATAATAAGTTCAATTAGTACTAAACTTATTAGAAAGTTCTTTGCATCAATCATTTCTTAAAAACAATTTACTCTGATTTTCTCCAATCATAATCTCCTCTTATCCCGCATTAGCTTAAAGGTCATGTGCATAAAAAAATATATATAATATTACAGCAGTTTAATTTACTAATTAGCCTTTGTTCGTTAGACTGAGGGGATAATGGTCGGAAGGGTAACGTGCTAATTGGCGCTGTATGCTAATTAAAACCAAACTCATTTAGCCGTCGCAGCGGTGGAGCGAGGCCCGGGAGGTGAACGGGCTAACGCTGAGTGACAGGGGCCGACCGGAGAAAGGGCACCTGGCTTTAAACAGGTCTGCGGGAAACTTCAGACAGAGATGAAGGACGGAAGGAGGCGTTAGCTCGACTTCAGCGTTAGCTCGACTTCAGCGTTAGCTCGACTTCAGCGTTAGCTCGACTTCAGTGTTAGCTCGACTTCAGCGTTAGCTCGACTTCAGCGTTAGCTCGACTTCAGCGTTAGCTCGACTTCAGCGTTAGCTTGACTTCAGCGTTAGCTTGACTTCAGCGTTAGCTCGACTTCAGCGTTAGCTCGACTTCAGCGTTAGCTTGACTTCAGCGTTAGCTCGACTTCAGCGTTAGCTCGACTTCAGCGTTAGCTCAACTTCAGCGTTAGCTCAACTTCAGCGTTAGCTCAACTTCAGCGTTAGCTCGACTTCAGCGTTAGCTCGACTTCAGCATTAGCTTGACTTCAGCGTTAGCTCAACTTCAGCGTTAGCTCGACTTCAGCGTTAGCTCGACTTCAGCGTTAGCTCGACTTCAGCGTTAGCTCGACTTCAGCGTTAGCTCGACTTCAGCGTTAGCTCGACTTCAGCGTTAGCTCGACTTCAGCGTTAGCTCAACTTCAGCGTTAGCTCGACTTCAGCGTTAGCTCAACTTCAGCGTTAGCTCGACTTCAGCGTTAGCTCGACTTCAGCGTTAGCCGGAGGAAATCAGGAGGTAAACACAAAGTTATTCAACAAAACGTTACAAAAAAGAGGAGAAATGAGTCAAAAATAGCTTAAAATTTGTCCAAATGTGCCGTAAATTGAGCACTTTTTGACGGACTAAAAACAAAACTCTCTGTGTCTATATGTACCTGTGTCTCTGTGTCTATATGTACCTGTGTCTCTGTGTCTACATGTACCTGTGTCTCTGTGTCTATATGTACCTGTGTCCCTGTGTCTATATGTACCTGTGTCTCTGTGTCTATATGTACCTGTGTCTCTGTGTCTATATGTACCTGTGTCTCTCTGTGTCTACATGTACCTGTGTCTCTGTGTCTACATGTACCTGTGTCTCTGTGTTTATATGTACCTGTGTCTCTGTGTCTACATGTACCTGTGTCCCTGTGTCTATATGTACCTGTGTCTCTGTGTCTACATGTACCTGTGTCTCTGTGTCTATATGTACCTGTGTTTCTGTGTCTATATGTACCTGTGTCTCTGTGTCTATATGTACCTGTGTCTCTGTGTCTATATGTACCTGTGTCTCTGTGTCTATATGTACCTGTGTCTCTGTGTCTACATGTACCTGTGTCTCTGTGTCTATATGTACCTGTGTCCCTGTGTCTATATGTACCTGTGTCTCTCTGTGTCTACATGTACCTGTGTCTCTGTGTCTACATGTACCTGTGTCTCTGTGTTTATATGTACCTGTGTCTCTGTGTCTACATGTACCTGTGTCCCTGTGTCTATATGTACCTGTGTCTCTGTGTTTATATGTACCTGTGTCTCTGTGTCTATATGTACCTGTGTGCCTGTGTCTACATGTACCTGTGTCTCTCTGTGTCTATATGTACCTGTCTCTGTCTCTGTGTCTATATGTACCTGTGTCTCTCTGTGTCTATATGTACCTGTGTCTCTGTGTCTATATGTACCTGTGTCTCTGTGTTTACATGTACCTGTGTCTCTGTGTCTATATGTACCTGTGTCTCTGTGTCTATATGTACCTGTGTCCCTGTGTCTACATGTACCTGTGTCTCTGTGTCTATATGTACCTGTGTCTCTGTGTCTATATGTACCTGTGTCCCTGTGTCTATATGTACCTGTGTCTCTCTGTGTCTACATGTACCTGTGTCTCTGTGTCTACATGTACCTGTGTCTCTGTGTTTATATGTACCTGTGTCTCTGTGTCTACATGTACCTGTGTCCCTGTGTCTATATGTACCTGTGTCTCTGTGTCTACATGTACCTGTGTCTCTGTGTCTACATGTACCTGTGTCTCTGTGTTTATATGTACCTGTGTCTCTGTGTCTACATGTACCTGTGTCCCTGTGTCTATATGTACCTGTGTCCCTGTGTCTACATGTACCTGTGTCTCTGTGTCTATATGTACCTGTGTCTCTGTGTCTATATGTACCTGTGTCTCTGTGTCTATATGTACCTGTGTCCCTGTGTCTATATGTACCTGTGTCTCTCTGTGTCTACATGTACCTGTGTCTCTGTGTCTACATGTACCTGTGTCTCTGTGTTTATATGTACCTGTGTCTCTGTGTCTATATGTACCTGTGTCTCTC